AACGTTATTTGTCCAAACTGGAAAGGCATTACGCAATCCTTATCACAACGGGAAACTTTTCCTAGAGACAGCTGTCTAAAAATATTTTGAGATGGAGAAAAAAAATGTTGCACCTCGTGCTATCGCTCTCGCTGTGCCTTTGCTTATGAACAGTTGTTCCTCCGTGGCACCAATTTTTTGTTTGGTTTCTTTGTAACTAAACTTATACAAAAATGAAAAAAATAAAAGGGCTCAGTCTCGGCTCGCGCGTCACGCCATGACAGCCCTGACGCCTGACGGCTCGCGTGACCGCCCCCTCGAGCAGGGCCGATAGCCGTGTCTCGCGGCGTGCCGGCCAAATATCAAACAAATGTGCGGCTGCATGCGGCCGCGGGGTGCGGCGCGGGTGCTGCGGGCCTCCCCCTGCGGCACCCACGCCTGTGAGGATTGTTCCTCCTTGGAGAGCCTCTCTAACCTACAGGGTACACTTCACCTCCGCACCGTGAGCTCGTGACACGGTTCCGCCGGCCGCGCGAGCTCCGGGACGTAATCGGGGAGGGAGAGCCACACAGCACAACAATGAGAGGTGGGGACAGAGTGATCATTTCCTCGACGACGACGCGATTCAGTCTCCATCTCTGAATGCAAAGCAGGGCTCTGGGCCGGGCGTGCCGCCGCGCCCTGCACCGGCCGGCGCACGGGCGTTGCGTGCGAGGCGAGGGGTCATCGGGCGGGGCCGAGGCGGGGCGGCGGCGACTGTCACGACGAGACAATAGAATAACGCCCTCCCTGTCATTTGCGCCTCACCGCGCCGCCGGCCGCGCCGCCGGGCCCGGACACACGTCAGCACGCCCGGCTCGAGGACGACGACGTCCAACCTAAAAATGTTTCAATTACAATCACGCGGCGCGGAAAGGCTCACGAGCTGCGTCCTCTCTCTGTATGTACTTACAACGACGACCTCACACACTTCCAAACGACGCTGACGCGTTCACTGGTTGTAAAAACAAGACACCCCTCGTTGGAGCTGAACGCGTTTTACACAAGCCCCGCCCCGCAGAGAGAAGTGCTACCAACCGCGCAAAGCAGTGCGCCGCGGCAGCACCGCGCCACCATCAACGCGTTTTGTGAGGTTTCCGGTTCTGGTTTTGATTTTGTTTTACGACACGGCAACAGTCAGCCCGTGGCGGACTGCGAGTTGCCGAGCAGGATAGCCATTGCGCGGATGTGCAACAGAGAGACAAACGGTCGAGGACTACGGGCAAGCCTGTCTCTCTCGCACTTGCACAGCAGCACGTCCCAGCAGCGGTCGCACGCAGTGGCCGCGGGACGCGCCGGGACCCTCCTCACTTATATGGCCCCCGCCGTGTACTTCCCACCTGAGTTTATGGCCGCCGAATGTGTGGAGTCCGGGGCGCTTAACACGTTGAGTGCGG